TCAGTGATTCAATGCTGTTCACGATTTTCACAGCGCTAGCCACAGCACCACAGCATTATTTTGTCCATCTAGGAATCTTCAAATGACTTTTTAGGTTCCTTTTCAAAATAAACTTGTGGTCAATTATTCATTTACATGTATTAGTGACCAGGATTGTGGTTATAATGAGCGTTGTGCGTACTGAGGAGGAATTTTGGTGAGGGAGGGAGGGAGGGAGGAAGGGAGAGAATTGAGGTAGCCTCACTGTGTGGCAGTAACTCTTGTTTTGCTCACTGTACTAGCTTCGTGGTTCACTATGGGGAACACACATGTACACGGGTATATACAGTGTGTGTGAATAGTGTAATAACAGCACCAGGAGTATGTTGTGAGGAGCTATTTTGGTGAGGGAGGTGACATCGTAATCGTAGCGTCGTCTGCTGTGTGATTTGTCATGCAGTGTATGGTGGCCATTGTACTGTTTGGACACAATACCGGCTTACTTGCATAGTTCTGGTAAATAAAACATGTAGATAGGTATATATAACATGTGTAAATCATGTAATAAATACAATAAAAGTATGGTGGGAGGAGCAATGTTGGCGAGTAAGATGTTGGAGTGAGGGAGGGCTGGCTGGGTGTGGCTGCTCACACTCGCGGTGTTCTGAGTGTGTTGATGGTGAATGTATATAGCGTGTGACAGTGTATAGTCTGTAAATAGATTGTATATATACATAAATTAGCATGATGTATGGTAAATATGTGCAACATATGTGTACACAAGTGTCATGCACGTAACACAGTGTCTTCGGACAGTACGGATGTTTTACTGCCATAATATAGTGTACGTGTTAATTATACATAGGATTAGCACGTAAAAACAAACAAAATGTATTTGGAACCGTGCGCAAAAAATTAACAAAAATATATTTGCAGCAACTCATGCGCCCCGCCCCGGACGCCCCACCGGCCCCAGGAGCATACTGCTCTGGCGCACGGGGAATGATGACGTCACGCCCCCACCTTTCGGAACCCATAGCAGCCAAAGTACAATTTCGAACTTCCGTTGCTATACCCATATACAGGGATGGGTTTTTGACACTTTCAGAAGAAAAAAGAATTTTTTCCCGAGGTTTCATTTCTTGCGCACTGGGGGAGATGTCATATTTATAGGCCGCACAGTTAAAGGGGTTAATTAATAAATAGGAAATCATATAACATGTTAATGATTAATAATGTATATTAATATATGAAATTAACATTTTGGCATAAATATTTTACAACTAAGATTAAAATTTGTAATACAATATGGGCGATTAAGTTTGGCAACCATCGCCTGGTCAGCAAATCCTTCCTTACTGCCTCCCTCACCACTCCACCAACAGAGAGGGGGAGAATTAGAGAGAGAGGAGAAATAGTGGGAGAAAGGGAGGGAGGGGACGGTAGGGAGAGATGCTAGGAGGGAGAATGGGAGAATTAGAGAGGGAGGGAAAGGCAGTCAGGCAGCCTGCCAGCCAGCCAGCCAGCCTCTCTGCCTGCCTGCGCCAATCCCTGCCATTCCCTCCTTCCCTAATTCTCCCATCCCCCCCCCTCACTACTTCCTGCCTACCTCCCCCTCCCTCTGTCACTAATTCTCCCCCCTCTCTCTCATTGTGCCTTCCATCTAAGCTCCACCATCCACCCACCAGTCAGCAATCACTGACGCAATGCGTGCATTTGGAGCCGACATGGTGCACAGATATTTCTTGATTGTGCAGATATGTAAAACAAAATTACAGAATGAACTCTCTAGCCTCGTGACAAATCAAAATAGGAATAATAGGCCGTGAATCTGTGAAATCACAGGGTAGAAGGCGGCAAACTGGACCATCTCCCACCCATCACCACAGGCCGGCGCGACGCTTGGCGGGCTGCTTCCTACCCGAACTTTGTTCGTGTAGCATGACTCTCCAACCCCAATCGGGAAACTGGAAGTTTCGGATAACTAAAGTTCGGAAACCAAGTAGTGCTCTGTACTGTGTATATAGTGTGTGAAACTGTACATATTGCAATTTTAGTGAATTTTTAACAAGTAATATTGCAACAATAAACATTTATTGTGGACACATTACTGACACATGTATCACAGTTCCATGGAACATTATGAACGTTCTACTGTATATTGTAAAGAACTCATATATGCATAATATACAATAAAAAACATAAATAAAACCGCATTGGAAATACATTGAACAAATAATTGAAAATATATATTTGTGGCAACACCCGGTGCTTGAATGGCCTGCACGACTGTGGGCAATTCATGCACGGGCGACCAGGCCCTGATGACGTCACAGCGCACCTTGTCCACGTCCCCACAGCCAAAGTAAGTGGAATTTGGTATTTATTTTTACAGACATGTTCTGGGAAGGGAATTTATCATTCTACGAAGAAAAAAAAATTTGGGGGGAACACTTTATTTCATGCGCACGGGGAATTTCACAATAAATTGGGAGCAGCACTGTGGTTAAAAACTCTTGGGTACAGTGTGTTCCATTAGGCACAGTGGGTCCGTCTAATCACCCAAAGCTACTCGAAGCTACCCAAAGCTTCCTAACATTATATTAGTAATGAATAAATATGATATATTTATTCATTATAATGTTGCTGCTGAATGTAGAACATGGAAAAACACATTTTTACTCTGATAAAGTATAGTTTCATAACAAAATTAGACGAAAATCAGCTGCTGGTGACACCAAAGCAGGTTGACGGCCCAAGGGACAATGTTGTGGGGCGACTTATCCAAGACACATTGTTGCTTGGTGAGTGTTTGCTGGCATATTAGCCTCCTGTACTGACCTGACCTGTAGGAAACTATATATCTTGGATAAGTTGTTCCACAACATTATCACTTGGATCGTCGACTTCCTATGGCCTCTCATGCCACTTAGTTTTGTATAATATTGTTATAAACGTGTATTATTTCAGAGAAAAATGTGTTCATGTTCTACCTTCAGCACCAACATTAACCCTTAAATGGCACTTGGCTATATACCATTTGACAACCACAGGCGCATACAAAAAAAAATATATATTTTTTCTTCCTAACCTGTTAATTTGTGTTCACTGATCATGGGAAAAATAATAAAAAAAATCGTAAGTGGCATATATTGGCCCGCTATAGGGCGGGGAAGTCTGGCAAATTATAGGCGCTGACTCAGCGTGCGTCCCAGGCGGTCTGTTGCTCGCTAGCTGTCAGGCCGGAGTTGCCACAAAAGAGATAATTACCTAATTATTTCAATGTCTCTGATTGATTTTTCGTATTTTTTTTTGCTGTAATATTATTCAATAGTGTGTAGTGTGATATATTTATATAATAAAATGAGTGAATCATCGCTGTACTCAAAAATATGGTGTGCATATTGTTGATTCAATTATGTTCATCAATCGGTGAACAAATACTTTGCCGGTTATTACATTATAAGCACAGGTTATATATAAGTATCTGCATGGTTTGTTCACTATAACGAATCACTAAGTAGCTATTATGAGTCAAAAAAGTAACGAGGAGTGACCGCCGTGTACCAGCCAGCCACTCCCGCCCTCCCTCCAGTCATCTGACTCGCCCACATTCTCCTCCCACAATACTGTTTTTGCTATAATTCACTATATACAGACGTTATATATAAGTATCTACATGTTTTGTTCACCATAACTGTACATCTAAGCTTGTATGGTGAGTAAAGGCACAAAGATGTGGCTACTCACACAGTCAGCTGATCGGCGGCCGCCCTCAAGGCCAGACGCACTAATATTTCTCCTCCAACAATACTGTGTGGTGTTATTACGCTATATACACACATTATATATAAATATCTACCCGTTTTATTCGCCATACTTGTACAAATAAACTGGTATGGTGCCCAAAGACCATCGTGGTAACCAGTAAACAACACCGTCGTCTGCACGGTGGCGTCATGCAGACGACGCCATCGCCCTCACCAAAATGGCGGCTCCAAACCTTCTCTTGCTGTTTATACCCTCTATACACACGTTATATATAAGTATCTACATTTGTGTTCACCATAGCGAACCACTAAGCTGGTATGCTGAGTGCAGTCAATAAAAGGTGGCCACACACAGTCAAAAGACATCGCCACCACCCTCCCTCCCACAGCATTACTCCTCCCTCCATGGCGCACAGCGCTAAATATCACCACAATCCTGCTATTATCAGAACTCTGGTCAGTTTTATCACAGTCAGGGGTCTTCTGTAATAATATCATCGCTACATAATACATGAACAAGTATAATTTGGCATTTTTAGGCGATGCTGTGGTCACAAGCTGAACAGCAATGTTGTTAGCTCATGCTGCGTGCGTCAGGCTTGGTTGCTCACTCAATACTGAGGCCAATAACACCTGGGAGTTTGGCCCACGATTTAAAAAAAAAAATGGCGTCTGTTTACAAGAGCCCTGATGAAGGTGTGGTGAACCCCGTGTATCCGCGGGCTATTTAAATCTTGCGTAGTACTCCAACACATCATATGACGTGATGCGCAGTTGACTGGAATAACGTCCAGCACGTCATATGACGTGATGCGCACTTTATGGGTTAAATTAAAAGAAATTTCCAATCTAAATTACAACACAACTAAAGAATTCATCCCCATTTGAGGTGGGGCGGCTGATGCAACAGCAGCCATGAATAGTTGGAAACTTTTGGCATTCCTACACTAGGAATTAATATTATTAGTAAATTTGATATCCTAACACAATACTTCTATCTTACTGCACTAATAGTTAGTATTTGGGGTGTCAGAAATTTCCGACAGTTGCAAAGGGCCAAAAAGCCCTTAGCGGTTTGAGGGTTTAGGGTTAAAGAAGGTACAATGTAGTGCTGCATATTTAATCTTTTATTATATTACTGTATATTCTCTTTATGGTAAATTATATTTCAATTTGACTTACAGAAAGACAGTTAATGTGAGCAAATTGATAATTTTGTTTTTTGCATAATATTAGGAACTGTGTTGGCAGGTTCGTTTAGTGGAAGGAAAGCTGGAAGAGAGTGCATTAGAGAAGCTGGAGGAGGGTGAAGGGAAGCGGCTCCCTGTGGACTTGCACCTGGATTGGGTGTTGGGGAAGATGCCTAAAAAGGTAAGTGATCTTGGATGATGATTTGAAGGTGGTTGAGGTAATTTCCAAAGTGTAATTACCCAACTGTAGTTACAGGACTAGAGCTATGCTCATGGTGTTCCATCTTCCTGCTGCACTATCATGTAATGCTTTAAAACTACTGATGGTTTTGGTCTCTACAACTTCACATGTTTCAACCATCTACCCCTCTGTTTTCGAAACTGAATTTTCTTAGTTCTTGAGCAGCTTTATGTAGTTAGTTTAAAAACTGTCTTCTTGTTTTTGAAGTTCCAGGTCTCTGGAATTCTTTCCCTGTCAATTTCATTGATTCCCATTACTATTTTATACGAGGCAATCATATTGCCTCTTATTTTCTGGGGGGAGCCCCGTCGGCTGCCCAGAGCTATCTGGGCTGATATGCTAATGTTAGACTTTGGCATCAGTCATGTGTATGGAGTTCTGTGGGCCTACCGGGCACCACTAGCCAGAACCTGGCCCTCTCGGAAGAGGCACGAGGAGCAATGGCCTATAGAAACCCCATGTGGTTGGAATCATTGTGTCTTATTGCCTCTAATATGCCTCTATGCCTCTTGCCTCGTATGCCTCATGCCTATGCCTCACATGCCTCTGTCTAATCATTCTATTGTCTTATAGCAATGGAATCATTGCTTGTCTTACTGTATCGTGACCCCATTGCATCTACATGCATACTGATATTGATCCTGATCGAAATCTTCTGTCTCCTATCCATACTAATCAGCACATTGACCATCATTATTGCAGGTATTACACAGCAAATCTTGCAAAAAACAAACTCCTAAATAACACCTGCTTATCAGTTTACAACCAAAATGTTAGATCACTTGGTAAACATTTTGATGATATAAATGCACTACTCACAGCACTAGGTTATAAATGATAATTTATTATTTTAACAGAAACCTGGCTAAGTAAAGACTATACCCAACTCTACAACTTTGCTGGTTATAAAGCCATTCACAACCGCAGGCCTAATAAAAAAGGAGGTGGCACAGCATTATATTACAAAGATACCTTCATCTGCAATAGTGTCATTAGTGATAGTGACGACTATTGTGAATATACCTTTGCCAAGTTCTCCAGTAAATCCCTTAAATCCTCCCTGACTATCTGTGCCATCTATAGATTTCCTAATACCAACATAGCTTCATTCTCAGACAACATAAGGAATCTTATCATAAATAACAATCTCAACAAAATCGCATCATTCTGGGAGGTGATTTCAATATCGACCTGGGTCTACAAAATAACCCTCTAGTTGATTATTTCCATAACAGCATGAACTCCTGTATGCTAATCCCCACAATCACCAAGCCCACCTGAGTCACTCAAACATCTGCCACTAACTTAGATCACTTATGGACTAATATAACAGCTCCCCTTACATCTGGTATAATCTATGACAGAACAACTGACCACTATCCTACCTTCCTTATAGCAAACATGGACATAACATCACCAGAAAGCAAGAAACTCTCATTCAGGCTGCACAGTGAATCATCTTTAGCCAATCTCTCAAATGCACTTCACAATATTAACTGGGAATCTGAATTCAATAATACACAGGATATAAACTCATCAACTAACCTCTTTCTCTCCAAAACTCTAAGCCTCTACAACACTCATTATCCCCTCCTCACCAAGCAAGTAACTGACAAAAGAATAAACAATCCATGACTCACAAGTGGCATAGTCAAATCAATCAACAAGAAACATGAATATGAATAGAAACTTAGGTTTGGCCTGGTTACAAAGGAAGTAGTTAAAAGGTACTCATCAATGCTTACCAGTATCATAAGAAAAGCTAAACTTTCATATTATGAGACTAATTCAAAGAAGCAAAAGGCAACATGAAAAGCACATGGAAAACCATCTCTAATATCCTAGGAACTAAACAACACTCCCACGACCAGATATCACTTCCTAAGGATGGCTATACACCGTCAGCTGATTTAGAAATGGCAAATGAATTTAATAGCTTCTATTCATCGGTTGGTGCTAACCTCACCAGTAAAATCCCACAGACCCAGACACATATCAACACATCTCTCAGGTAGCTATCCAAACTCTCTTCTCCTTTCACTAGTCAGCCAGACAGCTGTTGTGTCCATACACTCTTTAAAAACAAAGGCCGAGAACATCGGTGAAATCCTATCCATTGTATACAAGAGCGCCTCCCATGCCTTTGCACCACCTATAGCTCTGCTGTTCAACAAATCCCTTGAGTGTCATACCTTCCCTGATATCCTTAAAAAAGCAAGAGTAACGCCAGTTCATAAAAGAGGCAATCTGGCAGACATAAACAATTATAGACCAATATCAAACCTACCCATACTATCAAAAATATTTGAAAAAATTATCTACAAACAGCTCTACTCCTACCTTGTAAAATTCTACATACTCGGCTCCTGTTAGTTTGGCTTCCGCTCCCAAAAGAGTACCAACGATGCAATTATTATTCTCCTTGATATAATTTACTCAGCCCTTGACAAAACTGAGTTTCCGATTGGACTCTTCATAGACCTGAGAAAGGCCTTTGATACTGTTAATCAAAACTACCTCTTACATAAACTCCATCATTATGGAACCGGAGGCCATGCCCTGGACTATATCCAATCCTATCTTAGTGATAGACACCAATGTGTAGCCATCAATGATATAACCTCTCCCACTCTATGAATAACCGTTGGAGTGCCACAGGGCAGCATCTTGGGACCTCTCCTTTTTCTTATGCACATCAATGGCTAATGTCACAAACATTCTGAAACCTATATTTCTGGGGGGAGCCCCGTCGGCTCCTCGGAGCTATTCCAGGCTGATATGCTAATGTCAGACTTTGGCATCAGTCATGTGTATGGAATTCTTAGGCCTACCGGGGACCACGGCCAGAACCGGGCCCCTCAGAGAGGCAAGGGGAGCAATGGCCTATAGAAGCCCCCATGTGGTTGGAAGCATTCTATGTCTGCCATCGACCGGAACAGGCACCCAGAAAGGTAAGCGGCTCAAAACAAACCCCTATTCTGGTTAAAATTTCTACCAAAAGCCGAACTAGTGGATAGAACTCCCCAACAGAAAACAAGCAAACTAGTGTGACGTCACACGCCGCCGTGCCGCTGTCTGCGCAGCTTCCCCCTCCCCGGGAGGGGGAAGGGGGAGCCCCAGACCCCCTGCGCCGGCTACCCACACCTCAGTTCTTGAGGCTGATGCTATAGGCGATGGTCGTGTGCTCTGGCTCCGGTGTCGCTACAGCACTGTGCTTTGCATGTGGTGTTTGTTTTTGTGGGTGCGAGAGCCAGGAGTTATCTTCAGTACTCGGGCTGCATGTGCCTAGGGCTGCCTTCCCTAGGTGCCCTGTAAGTACTGCCCTTGGGGCCACCTTCCACAGGCTCCTCGGGGTCTGCCTCTGATGGTCTGTTTTATCTTTCGGTTTTTTGGCCGCCTGTTGGGCTCTTGGGTGTTCTGTTCTCCCTTGTTACTGGCAGGTAAGAGGCAGTTTGCACTGGTAGGGGCGCAAGGTGCTGCACAGCTTGTATTCCTGACATAGCGGCCAGCTCTGTTCCTTGGGATTCGCTGTCTTCTTGCGGGGTTTAGGTTTTCTTTTTGGTTTTTGCCTGGTGGGGGTTCTGTCGTTTTATTCCGTTTGTTTTTGCCCTTCCACTGTTCTCCTTGGTGGCGCCCCCTGCTAGGTCCCCGTGAGTGTACACGTCCCTGGGGTACAGCTATAGAAGTTTGCTTGTAGTTTTGGGCGCCGGTTAGCAGCGCCCTGCCTGGGACTACCTGAGCGCGAGTCCTCTTCAAGTAAACGCTCAGGATCCTGGGAATCCCCTAGGGGGCACGTGGGTCCGATGGATGTGACCCCGGAGTCCCCACATGCTGTGTGCGAGTTTGAGGGTTGCTCGGTCCCCCTTGTCACAGGGTGACCCTCATTGTTTTTGCCTCTGCCACGCTGCTTGTTGGGTCGGTGATACTTTCGACCCTGAGTCCTGTGAGTGTTGCTGCTTGCTTGTGACTCAATTTACCCAGTCCTCTGATGATTCTCTAAGGGTACAGGCGGCGCATGCGTTGCAGTCTAGGTTTCGTCTGTTGCAACGCACTCGGTTGGTTGCTCACCCGGATGCCCCGGGGCTGCCCCGCTTTGCTTTTTGAGACCCGGACTTGGGGGTGGGGGTCGCTTCGATCCTGGTTCAATCTGCACCTCCTCGTCCTTCCCCTTCTGTTCGTTCTGGTCCGCCCCCCCCTGCTTCCGACCCCGAAGCGTCTGAGGGTTTCGGGGTCGGAGCAGGGGTTACTTGATCTCGAGACTCGGGCAGCTTCAGGAGGTGCCCCTTCCGGGGGAGGGGGGCGGCAGAGGCATTCGAGTCTTGTCTCCCGGCCTGACCAGGTCTTCTGGGTCTGACCAGTGGGCCCCCCTTCCTCCAGCTTTTCCGGCTGCTCCGTCCTTGTCTTGTGGGGCTTATTGTTACAAGGAGTGGGGTTTTCTTTTCCCCCCCTCTGCGTACGAGTTGCATTTGGTGTCGGCCCCTCCCCGGGTTCGATTCCGTGTTCCCCCGGGTACGTCGGTTCCGTCCTTCCAGAGGTTTTCGGCTTATCACATCTAACCTGGTGTGGTGCGAGCGGCCTTTGCAGCTTACCTCCTGCGTGACACGGATTATGCCTCGGAAATGGATCTGTCCGAGTTCAGGTTTGGGACTTCGTTCCCTTTCTGGCTCCGTTACGAGGTTCCGGAGTCTTCCTGGCTAGCGGACTGCCCCTTGTTTGTTCTGGATTCCTGGCATTCCTTCTATCGTTCCCGCACGGTGGAGTGACGGGAAGCTTCCACGGTGCTTTAGGTTTACCTGGGAGGCGAGCTTGAGTACCTGAATGAGTGCTTGTTTGCCCCTGCCCTTCCCCGCGATGTGGGTGTTATTCAGCTCCATGTGCAGGTTCCCACCCTTTTGGCGGCGCTCGTTGAGGACTTACGCACCCGGGGCCTTTTGGCTTTG